AGTAAGTAGTAGTAGTAGTAGACGACGAGTAGAGATACGAGATAGAGAGAGAGAGAGAGAGAGAGAGAGAGAGAGAGAGAGAGAGGATGTGGGTTTGATTCCCCCAGTCTCGTACCGCACAAGAGAGCTCTTCCCTCAATCTATCCAGACACAGGGGAGCAGGAGCATGAACATTGGGCATTGTGGCTTTCTCTGATGATAATAATTCATAATGAATTTCAGAGTCAGAACCTCGATTCCACTAATTCATGTTATAATTCCATGTCTATTTCATAAATAATTTGCAAGATTTTTTTACCTGGTTTTTTGTAGTCATCTTCAGCGTCAAGGTTAGGATGTTAAAGTATGGATATCTTGTTAGTATTGATATACATCATTATGCATACATATTAGTATGCTCTTAATTAACTGTCTTTTGATTATGATAAGATTAGTTAGTAATTATCCATAGCCGTTGGTATTTATCTTTAATTGTTAAAAGTCGAATATTTATATGATGTCTTGTATATTTATATAGAGAGAGTTATCTGAAAATAATAATAATAATAATAATAAAATGAATAAAATAAAATAAAATATATTTATAATGATGTATATCAATAGTAACAAGATATCCATACTCTTAACATAGGAGTCATCTAAATTCATAATGAATTTCAGAGTCAGGCGTCGAAACCAGAACCTCGATTCCACTAACTCATGGTATAATTCCATGTCTATTTTACAAATAATTTGCAAAAAAATTTTACCTGGTTTTTTGTAGTCATCTTCATCGTCAAGGTTTGGAACTGCAAGTGGGATAAGAGGAGGACTCTGCCTTCGAACTCTGCGCCTTCTGAAAGAACAATAGAACATGAAGAAAACAAAACACTGGGGAAAAACACAGTAGAACATGAAGAGAAAGAGAAAATCGCAGTCACAATGTGTAGTAAATTCCATTAAATTATTGTAGAGTTGAACACAAAAAAGACCACAGTGAAAGAAAACCACAGAGAACACTTCAGAGAGAGAAATAACTTTCTTGAGTTGCAAAAGAACAAGCTCAAGTACTATTTACTCTGCAACAAAATCAACAAAATCTTTGACCCAACAAGAGAGAAGAAAAATAGTACCTAATTTAAGAAAATAATCCAGAAAAATCTGAGAATGAAAAAAAAAAAATAAGCCATGAAATCTAGAGAGATTAAAATTGGAATGCAAGAAAACAAGCAGTGAGAATCATCTGAACAAATAGCAAGGAAATGAAGGGAAAAAATGCCCATTGAAATCAAATGGGTTTTAAAGAATTACCTCTTCGAAGAGGACGGTGGAGATTTAATTAAAAGCGGGGAGGTTCTCTTCCTCTGCTTAGCTTCTCTCACAGGAGTGTCCTCGACCACGAGGCTCGCGAGCAGAAGGGTCTCCTCGTCCCAACCGGCCAATCTTGCTGCACATCTAAATCGTGGGCTAAACAAATTGCATTCATTCTCCCCATTGCAGTCTGTTTCTTGTGCTTGATTCCCTCTTTCCTCCGCTTTTCCCCCGGCCTCTTGCATTCTCTCTCGATTAGCTTGTGCCAGGAAGAGCTCTCTCTCTCTAGAAGATCGGTACGAGGGCTCTCTCTCTTGCTAGGATTTAGGTACAATTGCTCTCTCTCTCTCTCTAAATTGTGTACAAAGTCTCTCTTTAGATTGGGCTTCAAAGTGAAGAAAGAGTAGAATGATGGGTTGGTTGTGGTAATAACGGTTAAGAGAATTGGTGTTTAAATTCATGTTTCAACGGCTATGAGAGAGGAAGCTTCAACGGCTAGTTGAAGAGAGGCTTCTTAATAAAAAAACAGGTTTTGGTGAGGTCGAATATATCCCTACTTCTAAAAGCAAATAGCAGTTTTGTTCCTGCTGAAATTCGCACCAGAAAGTAGGGGTGGCAACGGGGGATAGGGTCCTAGTCTGGGACTCGGACCCGAAAAATGATATGGGACCCAAACCCAATCGGACCCGACCTAAAAGTCAAAAAATTGTGTTATTTAATTATGAAAAATAATCATATAAGACCTTCTCCCACCTATGTGTGTAGGATCCAAAAGATTAACATTAAATTCGGTATGGATCTTTAAAAAAATCAAGTCCCATATCCATATGATAACTTTTATAAAGATCTGTACCAAATTTAATGGTGATGCTTTGGAGTCCTATACACATGGGTAGAGGAAGGTCTTATAGGATCATTACTCTTTAATTATATTTAAATGTAATTCATTTATTGGGACTCAAAAAATAGTACCAGACTAGGACCTGGATCCAAATAATGTTTGGGTCCAATCTTGGACCTGACACGACCCGACGGGACCAATTTTTGAACCCATACACGGACCTAGATCGGGTCTACCCCTCGGGTCCCAGATTGAGTCTAGGTCCATTCCCACCCTACCAAAAGTGTAGGTTAGGATTGATTTTTTTTTTTTTTTTGGGAATTTTTGTTTTTTCTTTTTTAATTTATGGGGACATGTTAATGGGACATTGGATTTGCAAAGCATTTCCAACCGAAACAAGAGACATGCGAAACATGGATAAAATTACGTTCATGTCCCCATAAATATTCGTTACCAAAATACCCATGAGAGATGTACTTTACACATTTGCGACTATTCCATTTATGATCATGTATTTTTTATGGGAAATTTATCATATTACATGTAAGAGATTAACAATTCGGCACTTTGCCTTATCTTTTGATTTAGTTTCAAAATACCCATGAAAAAACAAATGTTTTGAATTTGAATTGCAACAACTAGGCGAAGTGTCAACTAGTCCATCTCTCTATGGCCATTTTGACAAATTTTCCACTTTTTAATGGGTATTTTGATATTAAATTAAGAGTAATAATCTTTTGAGACCTTCTTATATCCATGTGTGTTGGACCCAAATGATCACCATTAAATTTGGCATAAATATCTAGAAAAGTTATCACATGAGTGTGAGACTTGACTTTTCTAGAGATGTGTGTCAAATTTAATAATGATCCTCTGAAGTCCTATACACGTGGGTGTGGAAGGGTCTAAAATTAAACTACATAGGCAAAATATCAAATTAGAGCCTAGCTCAAAAATTTCACTAAAAGACATTGTTTTGATACCCAAATATTAGTAAATTGATAATCATGACATCAAAATGCACGGACATGAGAAAAGATGGATTTTCAATTTTGAAAATAATGCATCTTGTAGCATATTTTTAGATCGTCAACTTTCAAGATTTTTAAGTATTCATATATCTGCTTGATTCACACTATTTTTGAAGCTTTAAATTTTATAGTTAAAGATGAAAATATATTTTAAAGCTATCACAAAGATTTCTAATATTGAAACCATTTATTGATACTATTTGAAGGTACGCTCTACTTTGATTGTTTAGAGCCTCGACTCTATACAAACCACACCTTTTTTTTGTATCTTATATTTATCCCTCTTTGTTAATTCTTTTTTATTTTTATTTCTTTAGAATGCCACCACTTTGAACTTTAAAGAGCCTTCAAACATTCAAGATTCAAAGTTCATTCATCTTGGAGCTTCTAATCACTTGGGGCCACTTGGGACCTCAAAGAGCTCTCCAAACATTCAAGATCCAAAGTTCATTCATCTTGGTGCTTCTAATCACTTTGAAAGGTCCTAAGTGACTGGTAGTTGCACTTTTGATGTTCACCTTGGACTTTGAAAGTTTGAAGCTACATTTTAAAAAAAGTATTTTGCTTTTTAATGCCAAGTTATTGTTGCTTTGGACCTTGAAAATCTGAAATAAAATTGAGGCATTGTGGACAAATAAAAAAAAAAAAAGGGTTCAAGTTTAAAAACAAAAAAGGATTTTTTTTATATATAAAAGCATGGGGGGATGAGTATAAATTTTTTTAGCACCTAACAACAAAACTTCCGAATAATATTCTTTAGTATCAAAGAACAAAAGTTCCGAGTAACAATGTCAAGAAAGAGACGCACATTTTTCGGATAAAAAAGGAGAGAGGCGTGATCTTTTTTATAAAAATGAGAGGCGTTGTCGTTTCATTCAACTTGATAAAAGTGTCGCCTCCTGCACTCTCGAGAGAGACACAGAGACGTGTTACATTCTTTCAAAAAATAAAAAAAGAGAAAAAGTCTGAATCAAGAGACAGAAGGGCGAACAGAGAGACGTGTTACATTGTTTCAAAAAAAGAAAAAAGTAAAAAAAGTCTGAATCAAGAGACGGAAGGGCAAACAGGAAGCGATGTTTGACTAAGCAGTTTGCTGTCTGTAATCCAACCAAAACCGGTCTAACTGTTAGTTCAGTTTATCTAAATTTCGAAATATTAAGCAAATATATAAATAATAATTTGAAAATATAAAATATATTAAAAAAAAATTATCTAATTTATTTGGCCAGTCAAAGCTGGCTGATTTTGCCTGTTTTTTTTTTGGTATCGGGCCAATGATAACAAGGTTAAGAAGTAATGTAGCACGTATCAGCACAGAGATAAAGGCCGAACATGGCCGAATTGGGTTTTTGTTCATGTGGCCACGTCGAGCTTCTTTAGCCCACTGCACAAACAGGTTGCATACGGTAATCCATTTGGCTATTATCAAAGGTCTTAAAAACAGGTGATTCGGATGGGACCCGGCCAACTCAGATCCCACTAAATATCAAGAACCAGACGGTTCTCAGACATAACCAATTGGTGCTGTATTTTTATTTTTATTTTTTAATTTGTTTAGTCCATAATTTTCTTTAATTTTTTATTTGAGAATCCAATGGGATCATCACCGTCAGACCAAGTGATGGATGATCATGCATAGTGTGGGACCAATCAAAAGTGCACAATAAAGATCCTAGCATTTATCCTGTCCATCCACCAGTTGATCTGATGCTGAAGCCTGTTTGACTCTTATTTTTTTCTTCTCACTGCTAGGATTTGAACTTTGAAAGAGGAAGTGTTCATGCCACCAAGTCCTCTTAGGCATGCACAAGCGTCTCCATTTTGGGGGGAAAGATTTATGCATCTCTCTCTCTCTCTCTCTAAAGTAGAGGTCTCTCTATTTCCCTCCCATTTGGGAAATGTTCGAGCTATTGGCAACCACCACATGTATAATTCTTTTGAACCTACGCTAGTTTTGTCAAAGAAATTACAAGAATGTTATGCTATGAAAATGTGTTTGATATTTCAGTGCTCCATTACTCTCTCAAGATATTTGGGACTGTTCACTTATGCTGATACCGAATAGTTGGATTGTATTGAAGATTTCTTAAAATTTAGAACATCAAAATTGAGGAAATGGAAAAGTACAGGTTTCAATGGGCCACCAAATCCTGATGACAAAATCTAGACATACAAAAAATTACAAGCATCCCAATAAGCCTTTTGATCCATGCATTTCCATGAAACAAACATTAATCTCACCTTTCTTTCTCGATTCATAATTATATGCCGAGGCTTCCAGCGCATTTTGGTCCTCATCGTTTCTTTGTCCAAGGTAGAAAGTACTGAGCCATCAGTGGGAATAACAAGGAGTTCCAAAGTAAAACCCATACTAACAGAAGAAAAAGGAAATGTAAGAAACCATTGACCTTTTATAAAAGGTCACAACCACTCGTCCCTTAAATTTCAAATTTCGTGATTGTAAAAGTGTCAATGAATAGACACAAAGTTCCAAAAAAAATTTTTTAAGACTTTCGTGACTCATCTCAATCCAAACCAATTTGTTACCTAATGAGTAAGAATAATTGTGACCTCCTTGTAATAAAGATAAATGGTTTCTTTGTAAACAATCCCAAAAAAAAATGTAACTGAAATGAAAAAGGCCAAATAAATGTTGCAATTATGGCTATGCAAAAGGGAACTAAGCCGACTAGTGCTATAAGAAGCTGTGCAAAAGGGAACTGAGCCGACTAGTGACATAAGGAAAGCGCTAATTAAGCAACAATAATGGTCATATTTTTCAACGTATCAAGCTTTGTAAATAATCACAGTTCTTTCAATTGGTGATTAAGGGGCGAAATTTACTGGAGATGACATTGACTGAAGTATTGAACTCTATTACTGATCTATTTTTGGAAAAAGTTCATATAGGTTCTTTGGACGGTGTAGATCTTATACTATCTTAAAAAACTTGTCACTTTATGACATTGTCTTAAAAGAAGTCTCAAATCTACACCATCCAATTACATGGTGTAGAACATCGTGACCTCACTCCTACAAGGTTCCAGAAGTAAGGTTACCTTATGAAAACCACACCCCCTATATTTGCACGAGAAATTACTTGTGGCATCAAATTTTTCCAGGGAGCTATATAAATTGGTTCAAAACCAATAAACAACAACACGATCAATTTGTCCAAGGAGTCGATAGGTCAAGAACTAGAGAGAGCAAATAGGTATGGAAAAAGACACAAGAGAGTGTGTACCAAAATGGGCAATTCTTCTAACTTCAAACTTTGATAAACTAGCCATTTTGTTATTATTAATCTTAAAATTGCTCTAGGCATGCTCAAGGATTTTATACCATAACTTAATCAAAGCCATGCACACAACGGCGAAGGGCATTGCCTAACCTCGTTGACTGCATGAAAACTCATCAATTGCACCACCTTATGGTTCAAGAGAGGGCAAAATTACTCCATCAGCCAAGGGGCATCTGCTTGTGTCCATTGATAAATTTCATCTTCTTTAAACCACAACGCTGCAAAAAGGGAAGTTTGGAGCAACCCATTAGATTCCCATAATGTTCTTCAATTCAAAGTAACCAATTGTACTGAACAACTAACTATGAATTCTTAATGATCACACTAAAGAATATAATTTTCACTCAAAATTGGTCACACTCATACTGAAATATGCCGGACAACAAGTCATATTGATGCTTCGAGAGAAATGAATCAGCCCCTCCACTCCTGTTTGTTATAGACTTAAAGCAATCATGCAAAAACATTCCTAGTAACATTGAACAATCAAAGAATATTAAACCGAATTACTTATCTTCAATTCACAGATCATAATAAAAGCTTCATTTAAGTCATTAAAGTTAAAAATTTATTATATTTTCAACAAAATATATTCATTATCAAGAACTTTATTACAGGACATGTAGATTGCAAACTACCCGCACATGAAGTACATCACATGGCTGCACAAGAAAAGTTGTGGACTGAGAGAAATCAAATGATTAAATTCATCAAATAACAACAATTTTCTATACAAGACCATAACATAAAGCCAAATAATTTCATGCTCCCATGGGAGCAAACTGTCCACTTGCTCCCTTGGGCCAAAACTATGCTAGCGATATCTTTAGGACCCCAAATTTTGGGGATCGCACCTTCAAAGGACTCAAACTCGAGTTGTGTGTACATGCACATGCACACACACTACTCTTTGCATGAAATCTAACATGAGAGAGTGAGAAAAGCTGTTTACATCTTTTTTTTCAGGAATAAAGCTGTTTACATCTTGTGCCTATAACACTTCAATTCATGATGTGGCATAAGTTCAACTAAGGAATAAGTAATTTCGAAGATGCTATATATTTGAAAATAATAGATAAAGCAATAACTCCATGGTCCTGTCCTCAAATAAAATGCCTTAATGGAAAACAAGTGTTTAATGGAAAACAAGTGATTATTAATTGAAAAACTTTATATTTGTACTCATCAAAGTCTTACGATTACAAAAACCCTCACCTATTTCACGCTGACCGTTCTCAGGACTGTCACTTCCATGGATAACATTCCTGCACAACAATCCCAGGATGTCATTCACCAAGATACCAACCAAACTAAGGACAAAGATGCACATGCGAATAAAGTTAATAAATTTACGGTACAAAAAGACCCATGATAGATCAAAAGAAAGTCAATAGAACCTTCCAGTTTGGATAGCAAGGTCTCCTCTGATGGTACCAGGTTGGGCTTCCAAAGGATTTGTTGCCCCGATGAGCTTACGGGCAGATGCAACAACCCCTACACCTTCCCAAGCCTAGCTAGTCAATTACGTAAAATAAAATAACGAAAGTGTCAAAATCAATTCAACCAAAGTAAACATAACCTCTCTCTCTCTCGCTCTCTCTCTCACACACACACACACATACACAGAAAAGAAAAGGGGGAAAGTGAAGGAATGGTGGTGTTCTATGCAGATAAGGTGGTATTAGTAGTGGACTCTGGGAGACTGAGGAAAGACAGGAAGCTCAAGCAGGTGATGTAGACAAGTAGCAAAGGAAAGGTAGAGAAAGTCGATGGCCTATGCAAGTGCAAAGTAGGATGGGAAGATGGGCATTTTAAGGGAGAGTAATTATAAATCAATGTTGAGCTGGAGCCTTAACAGTAAGTAGCCAGGGAATACTTTTCCAGATGAGAGTTCAAAGAGGGTGGAGCCGCAAGGGTAAGATTGATGTAAGTCACTATACTAAGGTCCTTTTCGTTGCAGTGTAACTTTGCCATTTCCATTAATCATTAAAAGCCAAAAAAAGAGTCATATTCCACATATTGTTAATATGAGGACATACCATGCACACTACAGGACCGGATGTTACATACTGGATCAATTTTGGAAAGAAAGACTTGGACTGAAGATCCCTATAGTGTTCCTGTAATCATAAAATACGTGAGGAATAGATGCATGCCAAATACCACTCCCATGAAAAAAATAAAGGACGCTATAATAAAAGGATGATTACTAGGTGAGACCTTTGCCAGTTCTTCAGGGCATTGGAAGAGCTTCAATCCTTTCAACAAAAATCCCTTCTTCTCAAAACGAGAGATTATCTCCCCAACCTAGACATGCATTCCTTAGCATATACATGAGCAAAAAAGAAAGAACAAAACAAACACAATAAATACTTCGAACATTATTAAGAGCGAGAGCAATAAATCAGCAGGCCACAGACATGAATATATCCATGCCATATCATTTTGTTTTACAATTTTGTTCATTTACTAAGAATCAATAAGAAAATGTTATTTTTCAATAGAAATAAAAGACACCAATTTATTCAAAAGAATAAGGAAGCATTAGGGAAAGAAACACGTGCATGTGTGTTGCGTTCACCCACACACATAGGCACAACCAATCCATAATACATGATCATTACAGAATTAGCAAAAATTACAAAACATTTTGCTGAAAAGCATGTTGTCATTTTTTTTTTGGATAACCAATCAAATACCAAAAATACATGAACTAAGCAGCACAGCTGCCAATAGGACAGTACAATATGAAAAACACAAATTATACATGGAACTAGTCACTGCATTGTATTGTGATTCGACCAGACTGGACAAATTGATATGAAAACTGGGAACTGACTTAAAAAGCATCTAAGTCGTTCAAATGCCGAAGAATGCAAAAACACTTCTGAACAGAATGGTAAACTTCTTGACCTGTTGAGCCAATAGTTCATAGCAAACAATCTGAAGGCCTGAATATCGTCTCAAATTTTAGGTACAGAAAATTTATACTACAATAATTCTAGAAAAATGGGAAGATCCCCGTAAAAGAATGGGAGTTATGAAAGACGTTATGCATTGCAAATTTACTTATTTTTTCGTTTTCAGTGTACTCCATTAATATTTGTAAACCATGACATCAGTATCCTAAAACTGTCCAACCAGCTCCTAAAAAAGCCAAACATGAGAAGACTACTTCTCCTATTTGACTTTGGTTGGTTTTTCAAACGGTGATGATTTAGTTAGCATTCTATATAAATGATGGAGCACCTCTATATCAATCGCTGCAACTAAAACATTTATTTCTACAAAATTAGGTACCGACCTCCGAGGTGAAAGTTCTCCAGTAATCATCAAATGACTTTGGGGAAGTCCCAATCAACAATCCATCATGACTAAATGCTTCTATATGTTTGCACCGACAAAATACTATGCCTAGAGGTCTAATAAAGCATTTAACAATTTCCTTATTCAGTTTAGGATTAAACTGTGAAATCCATAACATGGTTTTTGTCGCAAAATAAATTCCAAACTATAACTGTAATTCATAATGAAATGATTTTACAGGAAGGCCTCGAGCTAATCAGCAATAAGAAAAGAAGAAAGGCCTCAAGCTTATTGATGAATAATAAAAAAAAAAGGACAACCCCTATCTAACTAAATTTACAAATAAATCAATCTAGTACGTATATGGAAAAAAATCCAGAAAAGTTTAGAAACCAGAAAGTAAAGATATCGCATGCACGCAGCAAAATTAAACTGAAAATTGCCACTGTAAAAAAACAAAAAACTTAATGCTAAGAAAGTTATTGCCATCTTTGCAGAAGTCATTCATAATGCTGTTAGGTAGAAATGTGATTTCCAAATTCAACATTATCATGAAATCCTCCATAATTCCCATAGAAAAAGTTCGTATATAAACTCCAGATAAATGGATCAACGAGAGGAATTAAAAATGTGAACATACCAAACCTCGTTGAACACCATCGGGTTTCACCATAATGTATGTCTGTTCCACTCTTTCCTGGTCCAAAATGCGACGGGACAAAATTTACAGATACGGAGACTCCATGAAATGAGAGAGAGAGAGAGAGAGAGAGAGAGAGAGAGAGAGAGAGCTGACCATAGAAGCAACAAGGTGGGGGAGAAAGACATTGGCGCTGCGGCCCCTGCTGCCGCTCCTGCTCGCATGCTTCCTCGCCGGTTCCAAAAAATTCCCCTTTCTAGAGAGAGAACACGAGAGAACCAGAGACGGATAGAGAGAAGAAGAAAAAACAGGGGCTAGGGAATGGCGTCTAGCCTGGTTTTTTAGGAGAGAGAAACAGGTTGGAGAAGAATAGCAGGTGAGGTTTAGGGTTTCCATATTCTCTCTCTCACGCTTCCGCTTCGTACACTTGGACTACAGACAAGGACCAGTTATGAAACGCACATATATTATTATGCTCACAAAATAACATATTGAGCCATAAAAGTAGGAAACATAGATAGTATTTACTTTTCATGCAAAGAGATTACACTTAAAGTGGAGTTTTGAAAATGTTGTGATGGATAAATGACAACATAAATAAGAAATAGAATTCGAAAGGGATATATTTCAAAATATATAGGTGTGGCACTTTAATAAAATAACATAGAGTGGACTCAGATTAGAAGGTGTGAGATAATTCGAAGACTAACAAAAGAAAATAAAGGATAAGCTCAAAAGTACAAAAATAGTGAAAAAATATATAAAAACTTATCACATCATTTAAGGTACGACTTTTAATAGATTATACCAACAAATTAGAATTCGTATAATTGATCTTAATTAGTTAAAAAAAGGTTTTTATGATGATGATAATAAAGATGTCACACTTACTCTTGTCCATCAAAATTCAAATCGCGGTTATTGTAATAATGCCATTGACCTGACTCAAAACAAAAAGAAATCTCAAATTTTGTGTGTGATCCTTCGAACCATTCAATTTATATCTATTAGCTAAAAGTATTTGTGATTTTTTGTAACACAGCTAAATAGTCGACTCCAAATTCAATAAACTGATGAAATAAATTAATAAAGTATGGATATCGAAATTGGAATAGTAGAGAAGACAAGATGGCATTTTGCTCTTGGAAGAAAGGACCCAAACAGGGATATTCGAATTGAGGCAAAAGTAAGCTAAAGAATGAGAGCAGCACCGATTTATTGGTCGAACCAATTAAATCCAATTTTAAAAAGATAAAAGAAAAAGAAAGAAAAATAATTTTAAAATATAAGATTCATTATAAAAAAAATTCATTCGAAATTGTATAAAAAGTCGGTAAAAATATTAATCATCAGTCACACATTGATTTTAACTTGTTTTTTTTATTAAATTTAATTTTTTATTATATCAAATCAACCAATGGACCGATTGATATTCCAATAAATTTGTTTGCATATCCGGTCTGGCTTTGACATGTTGGAATAAGTTTGATGCTAGTTCTAAAATGTCTTTAAAAAGCCAAAAGATTTAGTGCTCTATTCCATTTACTCTCTTGAGTAAAGCCCAATCTAGCGTACCTTTTAGGATCGTCAGAAATTTTGGGGGCGGTACTAACCTCTTCAACCCTTAGGTTCACTTCAAGAAAAAAAAAAAAAATCCCAAACACAATAAGTGGGGGGTCAGATTTTTTAAATGGAAAAAATTTATATAAATACAAGGTTCTAAACAATCAAATTAGGGCATACCTGAAATTTTCCATTTGAAGAGGTTGTTTTGATGCCCAAATATCTTTAAATTGATCATCTTGACCTCAAGATTCATGGACATGAGAAAAAAATAGATTTCAAATTTTAAAAATAGTATATCTTATAATACATTTTTAAACAATTAATTTCAAGATTTTCAAATTTTCATAGATCTGCTCAATCTATATTATTTAGAAGTTTTAAATTTTCTAATTAGAGATAAAAATATATTTTAACGCTATCACAAAGATTTTCAGTACTGAAACCACATTTCTCGATATTTAAAGGTGCATTTTACTTTGATTGTTTAGAGCCTCGGCCTTATACAAACCGCACGCTTTTTAAATTTATCAAACTCAAAAAATTTACATCCACTACTCCTTAAGATTCTCTTTTACGTTTCGTACTTTTTAAAAGAATAAAAGCTCTTATGGAGAAGAAACATCAGCAAGAAAAAAAGGAACTTTTAACGGAAAAATTAAACCGAGTCTTATTATGCTAATTGCTCTTCCAAAAGAATTTCTCTACAGATATTTAGCTCATCCAAAAAACTTTAAAAAGTTAAAAACAATCAATATAGAAAATTAAATAACTGTAAAATTAATATTCACACAGCAACATCTTAATGCATCTGCAATTGGCTGCCATTTGAGATTCATCAGTACCCCTCACCACAAAGCATAAGATTGGAGCATCTTTAAAAAACTTCGCTGACGCACGCACAGAGAGAGAGAGAGAGAGAGAAAGAGAGAGAAAGAGAGGTGTCAAGCTCAACCCATCTTTTCTTTTTCTTTTTTACTCTTGTAATTTATTCTACATCCTTGCAAATCAAAAGAGAATGATCAAAGCTCAACACATCATTGAAAAAACCATCACAATAAACCCAATTTTCAACCACTTTGATTACAAAGCAACAACAATGTTGAGGTGAAGCCAAGTATTGCTCTTCAAACATCTAATACAACACGCGCCAAACATTCAGCCCATTTAAGTAGAGTTTGACAATATAGCACTCATGATAAAGCCAAACTAGATTATGAACTTGATGATACATTTTTAAAACAAAATATTTTATCATTCCATGATTGAATCCATGTTGACATGAGCAGATCCTTGATATATAAACTAGTTAACAAAAGCTTCATCAATTCTAGCACATTTCTGATACCAAGTTAAGCTGGCAATCTCACATTCTAAGCCACCTGGGCTTGACAGGTTTTTTTGTAGCAGGCTTAGCTTCAACAGGCATCGATGGAGCTTCAACTTCAACAGGAACAGTAGTGTCTGGTTCAGCTCTAATTACCTCTTCAATGGGCACAGTTTTAAGATGGATATCCTTCAAAGCCATGATATCATCGCGAAGAAATGGCCCGGATATTAGGATCCCTTCATCTTCCCCTGCCAATTCACATTAGTGGACTACAATGAGAAAAGGAGGGAAAAAAGTCCTCATGTTTTTATGATAAATGAGTGGCAAAGGAAAAGAAAAATCCATTGCCGGAATGCAGAAGCAGAAACATAAAAAATCTCAATAAAAATTTGAAAATAATCTAGATCATATGAAAAGAATTAGGATCCTTTCATCTTCCCCTGCCAATTCACACTATTAAACTACAACAAAAAAGCAAGGGAAAAAAAAAGTCTTCACTTTTTTATGATAAATGAGTGCCAAAGGGAGTCAATTGTCAGAATGCAGAAAGCACGAAATATCCAAAATTGCAATAAAAAATTAAAAATAACCTTAGATCATATGAAAAGAGGATTTCCTATGTGTGTGTGTGTGTGTGTGTGTGTGTGTGTGTGTGAGAGAGAGAGAGAGAGAGAGAGAGAGAGAGAGAGAGTATTAATTTAAG